GAAGAGGGAGATTGATAAAGAATATGCAGAGTGAAAGCGTGGTAAGTAATAATGAAATTATACCTCAATGACCTGTAAACGGGGCTACTTTTTGTTCTGTAACACTCTTAGTATGGATGTTTGTATTTCCAGTTTGTGAAGTTTGCCAATGTGGAGGAAGATGCCCCTTCTTATCACAGACGTTATGACTTCTTTGTTTCAAAGTTCAGCTCAATGTGTCACAACAACCATTCAGATTCTGTCATGCGAATGAAGTAAGTTCATCATTGTACAAGTATTTTTTTCCCTCATCTATCCTTATTTGTTCCTCTGTTCTGCTTTCGAAGGTTGTGCACTTAATAGTTATTTGATGCATGATAAGCTAGATGTTGTCAAAATTCTATGGAAGTGGGTGAAAAGTGAAGACACACAAATAGATCATTAGTGCCTGAAGAGAATGGAGCATCAGGGAGTGACCAGGGGATTTGGCTGGCAAGCAGTGTTCCGGAGAAAGGCAAGACAGACATACAGTTACAATGTTACAGGTGCTATCAGAGTACCATCAGAGGGAGTGACCAGGGGATTTGGCTGTGTTCAGGAGAAAGGCAAGACTGACATACAGTTAGAGTGTTACAGGTGCCATCAGAGTACCATCAGAGGGAGTGACCAGGGGATTTGGCTGGCAAGCAGTGTTCCGGAGAATGGCAGGACAGACATACAGTTACAATGTTACAGGTGCCATCAGTATTGGAACACTTTGCTGGCTGCTATAGATGAGGACTGAGTGATTATGGGGATGTCCCAAATGCTGTGAAGATGATTTTTAACTCAGAGATGTAGATAACACTTTCCTTATGCTAGTGTACAATAAAAGGTCTGATACTGGTAACAGGGAGTTGTAAATATGGGTTACCTATTAGTGTTTCTTTGAAAATTATGGTTCAAATCATGATTGTCACCCCGTCTTGCTCCTTCGAGATTTTGTAGGCAATTTCCAGCAGTTCCCACGGGCTGTCCTGTGTCCTGGGGGCATTACCATTCAGCTTTATTCACCACATGTACACAGCGTGTCGAAAAGTCGCCGCACAAAAAAGAAATGTCTCCCAGACAATGATAGTACATGCAGCTCTCTTTCATGCTAGACTCTAGCGACTCTCTTTTGTCTGAGCGAGTCTTCAGCTAGCTTTCCCTTGTCTTTGTCAATGAGGCCTCTGTGCAATCAAGGGACTTGGATTAAGATATGGTGACATTCGGGTGGGCCCTTAAGAGGGCCATTTTGGGGTGCAGGTGTGAGGGAGACCCTAAAAAAGACTGACTCCATGCATGTGTGTATACTGATTGGTTAGCCACAAGCTGAGAAGAGTACAGTTTCACATGGTCAGTAGATGTAAAGATGTCAAATGTGGCAAGTGATTGAAAAACTGAACTGGCGATGCACTGACAAGCCGACTACGACTACTCCGGCGACCAACAGAGTCGGCAAGAATGGTCGTGAACGTGCCTAGGCCAGCACATTTAGTGCGTCTGCACCACATAAACTCACACATATACCATTCTAGTAGATACCTGTGTGTTGATTCAAATCACAATTGTCACCTCATCTCTGAGATTTCAAAGGCGATTTTCTGCAGCAAGAAACACAAAATAGGCTGCTCACAACGCGCAACAGAGAACTTTGGCAACCTTGAAAAGACAACATACTTACAGCGTTGAGAATAAGGAACACTTGACACCCCTGCAACATAGGGCAGCCCATGGGAACCACCAGGACATGACTGGAAATCACCTACGAAATCTTGAACGAGACAGGATGGGGTGACAATTGGGATTTGAACCAAAATTCGGCACAGAGAGGTAAAGAGTGGCCTTGATCAGTCAAATATCTGTCCCTGTCACATCGTTGTCTGTTTTAACTTATAGATTTGTTTTGCCTCTGTGCAGGTTACGGCAGGCAGGATTGAAAGGTCTCCAAGGAGTTGTTCGGAAGACTATCAGTGATGATCTGCAAGTCAACATCTGGGAGTCTGTTCACATGGACAAGATTGTCCCCTCTCTCTTGTACAACATGCAGGAGCACAAGTGAGCACTCAGTTTTCACTTCTAACACACATTAACTTTTGTTACAAATATTCTAGAATCACTTTCAACTTATGCCTTTGGGATGCAGAAGTTGACCACCTCAAATGGTCAAGACCTATCTACACCTCTGCCTAGTCATCCTGGAAATGGGTTCCATACTGGGGGACCTGGCCAACTTAGATAGGATCAGTGTTTCCTTTTAAGTCAGGGCTACTCAACTGGTGGCCCACAGGCCAAATCTGACCTGGGGAGGGCAAGCTAATGGCCCACGGATCGTTGCCATTTATATTGTATTAATGATCTTTCTACCCTGGGACTCAGGCCTCTGGTCCGTAACGCTCCCCGTTTTAAATATTTTGGCCTCTGAAAAAAACTTAGTTGAATAGCGCTGTTTCAAGTAATACCGCGTCTGCCTGAGAAGCAAGGAGCCAACCACATGTGTAAAATGGATTGCAGGCAATTCTCAAGCCCTGAAACAAGAACAGTCCAGCCACAGATGACCGGCCAGGAACTTCTGCTGGAGTTCGCAGCTGGCGAACACTAACAACAACAACAACAACATATCGCTGTGGACCCTCGACAGAAAGTAAACAAGCCACAAAATGCTTGAGACCATTGAGGTGTCGTTTTAAAGAAGAATGCTTAAAATACTGTTGACAGCCAAATTGTTTAACATGTTTTGACAGAGGCTAACATTCAGAGGCAACTTATTACAAACATTGGATCCTTGTGTGGCTTCTGGTGCCCCATTCTATGGATAAAAAGGACAGTCTTGCAGCCATCCCACCAGGACCCCCTCCCCCCAGAAACATTACTTGATAGGACAATGGTGAAAACATTATTTGATAGGACAATAGTTGGTGGATTCATTGCTTGATAGGATGATAGTAGGTTTATTCATTGGTTGATAGGACAATAGTTGGTGGATTCATTGCTTAATAGGAATATAGTCGGTTTATTCATCGGTTGATAGGACACAAGTTTGTGGATTCATTGCTTGATAGGATGATAGTTGGTTTATTCATCGGTTGATAGGACAATAGTAGGTTTATTCATTGCTTGATAGGATGATAGCTGGTTTATTCATTGGTTGATAGGACAATAGTTGGTGGATTCATTGTTTGATAGGATGATAGTAGGTTTATTCATTGGTTGATAGGACAATAGTTAGTGGATTCATTGCTTGATAGGATAATAGTAGGTTTATTCATTGGTTGATAGGACAAAAGTTAGTGGATTCATTGCTTGATAGGTGATAGTAGGTTTATTCATTGATTGATAGGACAATAGTAGGTTTATTCATTGCTTGATAGGATGATAGTTGGTTTATTCATTGGTTTATAGGACAATAGTTGGTGGACTCATTGCTTGATATGATGATAGTAGGTTTATTCATTGGTTGATAGGGCAATAGTTGGTGGATTCATTGCTTGATAGGATAATAGTAGGTTTATTCATTGGTTGATAGGACAAAAGTTGGTGGATTCATTGCTTTATTACTACAAAAGTTTGTGGATTCATTGCTCGATAGGATGATAGTTGGTTTATTCATTGGTTGTTAGGACAATAGTTGGTGGATTCATTGCTTGATAGGACAAAAGTTGGTGGATTCATTTCTTGATAGGACAATAGTTGGTGGATTCATTGCTTGATAGGACAATAGTTGGTGGATTCATTGTTTGATAGGACAATGGTGGAAACATTAATTGATAGGATAATAGTTCCTGGGATTCATTGCTTGATAGGACAATAGTTGGTGGATTCATTGCTTGATAGGACAATGGTGAAAACATTAATTGATAGGACAATAGTTAGTGGATTCATTGCTTGATAGGAAAGTGGTGGAAACATCAATTGATAAGATAATAGTTAGTGGAAATATTACTTGTCTGGCATCATATGCCCAAATGCTTGGATATAGCCTTGATGTTTTTTTAAATGTCTTTTTAAAAAATAAACTTTTTACCAAACGAAATTTTCATTCATATTAGAATGTTCTTTTCATCAAAATCTGAATAAAAAACTTTACCTGAATTTCGTTTTAATTTCACTATCTAATTGTGCCACTATATGCCACATAAGATTGACTAATGAACAGCATTTTGTCTCCAAAGCTAAAATAGTTTGGTAATAACAAGCGCCGTGGTGGATTAGAAAAAAATGATAGCCTAAAGCAAAGTACCAGGACTGAGGGGCAGGGGCTGACCAACTCGAAGATGGACGCAGGATAAAAGTGACTTCTTGAATATGAAAGTGCATGAGGCCGAAGAGCTGGCAAGAGACTGAGTTTCTCTCAGGCAGACTGTGATGGGAGCGATGTTCTACAAAGGACGTGTTACAAGATGATAATGTTGAGGATGTGTCACATAAGACCCGCAGTGTGTTTCTCCATTCCATTCTGTCCTGTGCAGTCATTCTAATATCGTGGGTGAAATCCAGTCCTGTACCTTTGGTTTCTCACGTCAGTGTTCTTCTCCTTCTTCTTTTTCGCGTTCACCGGCTGTAAACTCCAGCAGAAAGTTCTGGTCATTCGTCCGCTCCTGAACTGCAGTCCTGTTTCAGTGCCTGGGTGTTGCGGGTGCATCTGTTTAACAGATCTGACTAATTTGTGTGCAGACTTTTGTTTCTTTGCCTCTCAGGCAGATGCACTCCGACTTCCAAAGAAGCTCCCAATTAGTCAACTCTTACGACATACTTTTGGGTAGGCAGTGGGTCTATTCTTGTTTTCCCTATAATAGGGCCCTGGAACCCACACCGGAATTACATTAGTGATCACCTTAGGGTTTCTCTTGGGCGTTCTTGTTTTCCTAGTCCATCTTTTCCTTATTTCAGTGCCTTTCTTTTCACCTCCTTGTCCTTTTTCATCTCATCCTCCTGTTTCTTCTGTTTTCTTCTTCTTTATTTTTCCATAATTTGTTCTCCTTCTTTGACATAAATGAAAGGAAGCACCTGGAGAGTCCACAAGAAGAGGACAACCCTGCTCACCTGGCAGAAGTTGTGTTTCGTGACCTCATCTGTCGGGCCTCCTATGGAAACATCAGATCTGTTATATTACCTGTACTAGTGTAAGTTATTGACCATTTTTTAAATTCTATTGCTAGTGCTAGTCTAAGTTATTGACCATTTTCTATTTTTATATTTGTGTTAACGCAAGTTATTGACCATTTTCTATTCTATTGCCTGTGCTAGTGTAATTTATTGATCATTTTCTATTTTATTACCTGTGCAAATGTAATTTATTGACCATTTTCTATTTTATTACCTGTGCTAATGTAAGTTATTGACCATATTTTAACTGTGCTAGTGTAATTTATTGACCATTATTATTTTATTACCTGTGCTAAAGTAAGTTATTGACCATTTTCTGCTTTATTACCTGTGCAAGGGTAAGTTATTGACCATTTTCTGCTTTATTACATGTGCTAGGGTAAGTTATTGACCATTTTCTGCTTTATTACATGTGCTAGGGTAAGTTATTGACCATTTTCTGCTTTATTACCTGTGCTAGGGTAAGTTATTGACCATTATTTTAATCTTGCTCCACATGAGGGTTCCAGAGGCCTCACTTTCTAAGGGGGAAAAGAATAGACCCACTGACCCCTAATCAAGTCACAGTTGACTAAGTAGGAGTGTTTCCTTCAAAGCCAAAGTACATCTGCCTAAGAGATGAGGAACTAGTAGTCTGCATACAAATAAGGCAGATGTGTTAAAGGAAAAAAATGTACACTAACAATTTCAAATTCTGGAACAAGACCAGGTTCCAGAAGTGAACGAACAACCGGATATTTTCCTAGAGGTCATTACTGGTGAGCGCTAAGAAGAAGAAAAGGAGATAACCTGTGCTACTGTAAGCTACCTAATCATTTTCAATTGTGTTACCTGTGCTTGTATGTTTCTGACCTGTTTCTATTTTATAATCTGTAATCTGAGTTAGTGTAAGTTATTTAGCATTTTCTTATTTGGGGTGGGGGGGGGGGGGGGGGGGGGGGAGGCTGAGTGGTCTCAAGGTATGACATCCTTTTAAAGTGCTGGAGGTCCCGGGTTCAAAGCTCGGTGAAGGCTAGGATTTTTTCACATGGACTTCTCTGGTCTCAGTGTGTATTGTTGTGCACATAAACAATACCTTGGCACTTGGAAATTGAAAAAAGAGTAGCCTAATTGTGCTGCCCGGCAAAATTTGGAGTTCAAAATCTACCCAAATTATGCCAGGATCCTTGCTGTTGCAACAGAGTATGTGCACTGCACTGAGAATATTCAGGCTCAGGCTTGAGTTAGAAGTAGAATGGAGCACTTATGGGTTACACCCGTGTGCCATGATGTTGATCCTTTGAAAGAACATAAACATAAAAACACTAAACATTTTCTATTTTATTACCTTGCTAGCATAGGTTACTGAACCTTATTTCATTTATATTTTCTAATGTAAACTGCTGCACATTTGTTGTTTGATTACTTTTAATAGTGTAAGGTACTAAACGCTTCCTCTTTCATTACCTTTGATAGCGTATGTTACATGTTGTCTTTTTTTTTTCAATGCAGTGTTTTCCTCTTGTAAATTCAAATAATGAAACACAAAGTTTAATTTCTGACATAATTCACTGCATCCTGTCAGGTGCATAACACATAAACTATTACTGTCTATACTGTATGTTGTGAAGTCACTGGTAGTCTGGTAGTCTGGTAGTCTTAGTTTCAGCTTCATAGCAAACGGGTCGCCCCATCTTTGCTCTGCTCCTGTGCCAGCGAAAAACACCCAGAATGTTTATCACAGTCCCTTGTGGAAAGATTGACAGACTGCTGTCTCAGCATATCTAGCATACACTCGCATTAAAGCATATGGTAGCCATCCGAAGTGCTAACACAAACAGTCCAACATTAGAAATGCAGTTCATCATTGATGATAGCAGAACTTGTCGCCAACAGATCAGCAGTTTCCCACGCGATCAATTGTAATCACACACGGGCACTGCCAACATTGACGACCGGCATCGCGCCATTTTCTGAATCTACAATTCACACCACGTTGGTCACAGTCGAAAAAACATTCCAAATGCAATCCGCAGCTCACAGGGTCACGCCATGCATTCAACTCAGAAGCTGGGCGACGAAACTATATCCAGTCTACAAATGGAGCAAAAATACTTCGGCCACCGTCCGGCAGAAGCAAAAAAATTTGCCTCCGCTCCGACACAGCGCCGCTGTCTAGCGTCCATTTTAACCGGAAGTCACTGAATTACATATTTATAAAATGAACTCTAATGTCAGATCAGAACTGCAGATGGATCAGAAAAATAGAAGCTGATGGAACAGTTCCATATAAAATGCAAATATTGGTTAACTATACAAGATAACAGCGTCTGTCCTGCAAGCTGAGATATTTGAGGACATGTCAAATGCCATGATGTTCTGGAGAGAGCGGAGAGAGAGAGTGCAGTTTCCAGAAAATGAGGCAGAGACTGACCTCCCCGAAGCTGCTTACAGGACATTGAAGATAGATTGGCTAAGAAAGTACACAGGGCTGGAGAAAGGGAGACTTTCAAACGTGCTATGAAGAGAGCGAAGTTCTGTCAAGGACTTGCTGATTGATTGAATTATGTAAGATAAAAGAAAGAATGTTAAAAGCAAACAGAACTTTTTGTAACAATATAAATAACACTGTCATCATATACCATACTGATATAGGTATACATGGTTCAGCATCTCATGTGATCACCAGAATCACAGATCATGTCTGTGTCATTGTCTTGCCAAAGCCACGTATTCGCTGGGTTATTCCAGTATTTGTCTTTTCACCTTACCCATGCTCATTTTGTTCCATCAACTGGTTGTCACAAAGTTTTTGAGTTTTTTCTCCTCATAAAATGTTGAAAACTATTGTCTTTGCTTAATTTCTCTGCTTAGTTTTTGTCTTTCTCTTAGAGAGCTGCAGTATTTGTTTTTCTGTCATGCCATGATGTTTGCATTTTCCCTTTAAAAAAAAACATTTCCACTTCCGTCATAAATTTGTGTAAATGGCTTATCTACTTATTTACCATGTTTCACATGCATACATTAGTCCAGTTTCTGTTTAACATTTCAGGACAGTGTTTTCCTACTGCAGTTGACAAATTCTGATTGGTGGCTAGGTTTTGCCTCTTGCAGAAGGCAGATTTTTGCCATGGCAGTTCTTCTTCCAATGTCTGCCAGATATATTGCATTAGTTGACTATACAAGATAGTTGTACTGATTCACTTTAAGAATTTTCCCATTTGTATGGATGTTACATTCTGATATTTCTTTCTGTTTGGAGATAAGAACTGACACTGTATTCATTTTTTTTTACCATTCTTTGCTACAGGACCCAGCTTTTTATCCTTCAAAATCGTTCTCTGTTCTTTCCCAAGATGGTAAAAAAGTAACTGTGTGTAAATTCTTTGTTTCTTGTATATCTAGGGTAATAGTTGCATTTATACTCTTGACATTTATGTCAAATATTTTTTTTTTAAAGCTTGAGTTTATCTTCTAATTTATTTTTATCTCAACTATTCCTAAATTTGCATAAAATAAAAATTTTAAAAACAAATGAAGTTCTAGTCCCGGGTATTTTACTAAAGGCATTCATTATCTAGGGGAACATGGTAGCGTAGTGGCTAGATGATTGCCTGCGAGGTCTAAAGTTCAAATCCACATGGCAAATTCTTTTTTAATGACCATGGCTTCCAGGTCAGCCCATCCTAATATTGTACCAGATAATGCATAGGGAAGTACAAGCGTCTGGTGTGTTCTTGACCCATAACACACACCAAGTGCTGACTATAAAACTTGATTTGCTCAACATATGCCCAAGGCATCACTGGCATAGAACAGGGTCCTGTACTTTACATTGCTTAACTTTACTGTAAGCTTTCCATTCCTATCTTACGAGGGAAAGTCAATAAGTAAGTCACAAATGGTTATGGAATGGCAATAAAATGTAGTTGGTGGTTTCTAAAAGTGTCATTAGGTGAAAGACACATCAAACTATGTTTCCATTTTTTAAGTGGCACTAGGTGTTGCATTTGCAACACAGAATAAAAAATGGTGACAGTACGGAGTTTACCCTCATAGAACACATTGCTTTTGTGCGTGGTTTTTTTTTTCAGTGGAGGGGGGGGGGCAAAAGGGCTGCCTGCAAAGGACATTCACAAGGTGGGAGACATTTAACGAAGACGCGCAAGTTGAATGTGAAGTGAAAATGTAGTTTAGAAAACAGAGCATGCAGTTCAATGCAGCAGGTTTGAAAGATCTGATAAAATGATGGGACAAGTGTATCAGTATTGGTGGAAGTTATGTTAAAAAAAGAAAGAGATATTGTGTGTGTAAAAATAAACGGTTTTCAAGTTGTTATCGTCTTTAGTATTTTTTTTTTAAACAACCATTTATGGCTTACTAATTGACTTTCCCTCATATTGTAGTGTTTTAATCAATATTTTGCACCCTGTTTTATAACTGGTCAAATTTTACATAACATTCAGCCAGTCACTCTGTCTTTACTGTCAAGTATTTATCAGTACTACAGAATGTATTTGTCACATTTTATTTTCATGAAGTTTTTGTATTTTAGAGTGTATTATCTCTGTCTGTTATGTTATTTTTATAAGTGTATTAATCTTTACTGTTATTAAAATATTTATTATATTATATATTAACCTATCTATCAATAAGTTTAAAAAAAAAAAATAAAGATCCTTTTTCACGCCTTAGGCGCATCGGGCATATGGGAAGAGCGTCCGATGTTTTCACAGACCAATCGTCAATGGGTGGGTAATGTGGTCAGCATTACACCGGCTGTCTTTCTTTCCGCAGGACATCCATCCTTGTACCCATTTTAGGCTGGGTCGACCTGGGACGGCCCATACCATGATAAAAATCCATGCAGCTAGCAGTGGGCTTTAATCACAGTATGTTGGAATTAGGAGTCGGACTCGCAACGCCTAAGCCACGGACGCCGTTTATTTATCAATATCGTACATTTATTGTATTCTAGAAAGTAAATTTATAACTATTTTTTACTACATTATGTTTTAGATTGTAGAATATATTATTTTTATTATTCCTTCAAGTTTTTACTGTATTGTATTTTCTCTCTAACTGTTGTAACATATCTGTTACTTAGCAGAACGAATTGATTGTGTAGTTTTTGTTATAAAGTATTTATTATCTCTCATTCTCTTACTGTTATGAAATACATATATCTTCTTCCTCTATGTCTTTCAGCACAAAACATTAAATTTCAGCAAACTCTTCTTCTTCTTCTTCTTCTTCTTCGCGTTCACCAGCTGTAAACTCTGGTGGAAAATTCTGGTTGTTTGTCCACTTCTGGACTCTAGTCCTGTTCCAGAAACTGAGTGTTGCGTGCACATCCATTTTACAGGTCTCACTCATTTGCATGCAGATTGTTGTTTCCTTGCCACTCAGGCAGATGTACACCAACTTTGAAGAAAGCTTTTGGGAAGGCAGTGGGTCCATTCTTGTTTTCCCCACAGTGGAACTCCAGGACCCACATGGAAATGCAAACTCTTAATTCGTCACCTTCTACGACATGCTTTGGGCAGTGAGTCTATCCCTACCCGCCCCCTCCTCCCCAAAATAGAGTCCAGGAACCCAGTCATGGGAATAAAATCTATGTTCTGGTTATCTTCTGCACGATAATATTTTTTAAATTTATATATTGAATCGGTTGAGTTGAGTTGAGTCAAGAATTGACATCACAGCACTGGGGGCATTCCCATGCCTGATCAGTCCTTATCTTCAGCAGCCAGCGTAGAGTTCCAGTACTGATGGTACCGCTCACAATCATGTTAAATGTCCGTCTTGCCTTTCCTCTGAGTGTAGTGAGCCAGCCAGACCCTCTGGTTCACCCAGGTGCCTCATTCTCTCCAGGCCATAACAATCTTGTTTTGCTTCTGACTCCTTGCTTTTTCCCAAAGGGCCCTGACCACATCTGCCTTGTCATGCATCAGTTCACCACCCATTGGTGCAGATCAAGCTGATCTGTCTGCCTGTCCATTCTCCATAATGCCGGTGTGCCCTAGACAAAAGATCCAAAGTGTGCTCACTATCTGTGACCTTCCCATTGAAAATTTGCCACTCCGCTCGACACCTTTGTCAGAATGCTTCCAGAGTTAAAATTTTGACATGTATTGTATCAGCACTTGCCTATTTAGGGAGCCGTCATGGTGTAGCAGCCTTATGCTCGCCTGTGGACCCAAAGGTTGGGGGTCCACATCCGAGTGGAGGCAGCCTTTTTTTTTTTTAATGAACCTTGGCTCCCTGGTATATCTAGCCTTAAATTGGCGCCATGTACAATCCTGGGGAGTAAACTAGGCCAGTGTGATGTTGACCACATCACGTTCGACTGCCGATTGGTCTATAAAATATAGGTCTAACACTGTATGCTGAATGGAATGCCGGGCATGCTTCGTGCAGAGTGGCAAGCATCACTTTAGAGGTCCCGGGTAGTTAGCATCATTTTTATGGGAAATGAGCAGGCGGATAGACTGGCTAGCTCTGCACCACTTGGTGGTGAATTGATGTATGACAAATTAGATATTGTGAGGGCCCTTTTGGGAACAGGTAAACAGTGCAGAGGCATAGATAGATCATTACGGTCTGAGTAGAATGGCACTGTGAGGAGTTACTTGCAGATCTGGCTGATGTTCAACACTCAGGGGAAGGATGAGACGGATATAAAATCAGACAGTTGCTGGTATCATCGGAATTGGAACTCTTCGCTTGCTGCTAACGATAGGGACTGAGCACTTATAGTAGTGTCCTGAGTGCTGTGATGTCGATTCTTAATTCAACATTCAACAACATATATGCCTAATACGCCTGATGGTGTAGAAAAAGATCCTTACTTTTTAATTGGCTTTTTTATGGATTAGACATTAATATTCTGTGGGAAAAGCGATGGTAACTAACAATGGTAAAGATCCCCCGTGTGGGTTCCGGGGTCTCATTTTATGAAAACAAGAATAGACCCACAGCCTCCCCAACAAGCATGTCGTAAGAGTCGACTAACTGGGGGCTTTCTTCGAAGTCAGAGTGAATTTGACTGAGAGGCAAGGAACCAATAATCTGCATACAAATAAGTCAGATCTGTAAAGTGGATGTGCATGCAACGCTCAGGTTCTGGAACCAGACTAAAAATCTAGAGGTGGGCAAAGACGCAGAACTTTCCGCCGGAGTTTACAGCCTGTGAACGCGAAAAAGAAGAAGAATGGTAAAGAGCGAGCAGACATGAAATACAGTAAGTTGAGAGATATTGGAACTAACAAGTTTCTCCTATCTTTGACAGAGCAACAGATTATGGTTGAAGTGAAATAGAAATTTAAAAAAAAAAGAGAAGAGAATAGGAATGGCTAGAGCTGTCTTCAATTAGACGCAAACATTATTGACATTTAGAGAGATAAACATCACATTAAAAATGAAAATCGTCAAATGTTATGTATACTCAACCCTGCTGTATGGTGCAGAAACTTGGACATTGAACAGGCAACTGGAAAATGGAATTAAGTCTCTGGAAATGTGGATTTACAGAAGAATATGTCCTTTTTTTCATGGAAACAAAAACAGTCCAATGCAGAAGTTCTGGGAAGACTACATATGAAAAAAGAATTACTTAAATAAATTAAAAAAAAGAGACATGAAATATTTTGGCCACATTAAAAGACAACACCCTTTTAAAAACCATACTGGAGGGAAAGTTCATTGGTAAGAGAGCAAGAGGTGGACAATGATACTTCTTCTGCGTTAATCCGAAGATGTAATGCATTGTGTCCGTTTACAGCATGGCTGCAATATTTGCACCTTTCGGCCAACACATCCGACTTCTGCGGGCATTTGTTGACCGGGTTAGCCTTCCCGGTGGACAATGATACAAGTGGAAGGACAGTATCAAGAGATGGACAAACAGCAGTCTGAGAGAGTGGGCAACCAAGACAAGAGACACGGCGTGTTGCAGCCAATCTTAACTCTTTGAGTCCCAAGGAACACATCATACGTTCATAGGTTCCTACCTAGAAGCCCAAATGAACGCATGATGCGCCGATTTTATAACTCTCTTTACTACCCCCTGGGCCTGTGATGCTAAACCTCCTGGGACTCAAAGAGTTAAGTGTGGAGATGGCTCCTGATTGATTGATATGATATGTTTATACGATTTTCCTCCACCTTTTAATCTCTGGTTCCTGTTTATCTGCAGCCATCTTGACAATCACAACCTGTGGGTGCCAAATGATTTTGCTATTCGTGTGTTCAAAATCATCATGTTCTCTGTTCAGGTTTGTTTGTTTGTTTGTTTGTTTACCTTAGGTTTTCTAAGTTACGTATTTACATTATTAGTTCTTTCAGGAAGAATGCCCTGGTACTATCTGCCACAGTGAGCCACACTAAAACGTTACGGGTATAGAGCGATTGAAAGACCTCGGTAAAGATGGAGTGATGGTATTAAGAACAGCCTTACAGAAATGAACTTCAGTCTTTATAGTGCTCTTGACAGAGCTTATCAACGAATGTTAACCCCCCCCCCCCCCCCCCCTCCTCCTCCTCCTTTCGACACTTCGCTGAGGTACAAAGTTGAAGAGAAGAAGTTCTTCCAGGCAATTATAAACAAGTTAGTTGCAGAGTATTTACAAGACCCAGTCCCAGATTTTGTTGGCTGTTTATGGTTTACTAGTCAGGTTTACAATTCAGTAGTTTGCCATTGCCAGTTATTAACCTATAGGAATCTTTTTTTTTCCAAGGCCTTTTTTCAAATTGTATCAAAAAGCCCATCCTTATTATTATCAGAAACTTGATCCTATGAAAATCTGGGGGCTTGAAACTTATGACTACTGATTAGATAAGCAAGCCCTCCAATAGAGGGGAGGCATCATTGTAGATCCCCAAAATCACTAAGAGAAGAAAATATGATGTGAAACATTCAGAATAATAAAAAAACAAAAAACTGGTCTATTGAGGGAAGTAATCACTAAATACATAAAAAGACAAATTATAAATACAATCTTTATACCGACATTAGGTTATCAATGTCAGACTTGGACATTAACAAAAGAACACGAGAGAAGACTAACCACCTGTGAAATGAGATGTTTGAGAATGGCTGCGAATAAAACCAGAAGAGATCGAGTGAGAAACAATGTGATTACAAGAACTATTGGAACCATACCCATCGTTAAATTTATTGAGAAGCAAAGAATGAAATGGTTTGGTCACCTAATGAGAATGGAACCAACGATGCCAGCATCAAGAGCATACAACATGAAAATCGAAACACCAAGAGGCAGGGGAAGACCAAGAAGAATATGGATTGAAGGAGTCACGGACAACTTGAGACTTCATAACATCACGGCATATGAAGCGACTGAGCGCGCCCTGGCTCGGTTGCCGATCATCTGATAGACTGCGACGCCTAGCGGCACAAGCAGATTTTGACAAAAGAAGAAAGAAGAATCACTAAATACAAACAAATCAAAGAATTAACTGTTTACACACCCTTTGACCACGAAAATGTATGATTTTGTTATTGTTAACACAGTCACCTGGGACTATGTGACATCTTCATAAGTTTTTTTTTTTAATGAATCAAGGATGATGTGAGAATGAGCTCCCTTCCCTCCCCCCAATTTTTAACTCAAAATAATATTTCTTCTTTTGTTGTCTCACTGTAGCCCAGTGTCGTGGTTTTCTGTATTTGTCTTGCATTTCTTAGGTGGTTTTGGGGATGGTTTCAGCTACAACATGTGTTCATCTCTTCCTTGGTCATCCCCTCACCTTTTAGTAATATGCCCAAATAATAGTTAAAGTTCTACATTTGTGGGAGTAAATATAATCTTATCCACTACGTCTGCACAATGTGCAATTGCAACTAGCACCAGAGCTGTTATAAGAGATAGTGACTACTGCCTAAAGACATTATGCCATCAAAAAACCTGATAAGCCTATATATATCAGCATTTAGGGTGCAAGAGGGTTAAAGATGGGTATGTATAGTGTCATTATAGATACTGCTGCGCAAGTAACAAATTGTAATAACATTTATGGTATCACAGTTTTATTAGATTTAGTGCACCAGTTCCATTTCAGAGACTTCTCAGGAATTATATAAATCCTTTCCTAAAATATGGATGTGAATCATGCCCACACAAGGAGAAGACAATCTACATTGTTTGGTCATGTCATGAGCAGACCTGATAGAAAGATAGATGCCAGAGTACAGAAGGCTACCAGTTAGCCCCAATGCTTAGACACCCAAAGATCTCCCTTCCAGCGAAACAGTAAATGTTTAATAGCATTTTTGTTCCTACTTTATGTTATCAGTGCCAAACATGGACAAAAAATAGGGCACTAGAACAAAAAATAACTACATGTGAAATGCTATGTCTTTAACAACACAAGAAGAAACAGGGTTACGAATACCATCATTAGAGGGAAAGTTAGAATTAGATCATGTCTGGATTATATTGACAGACAGAATTAAATAGTTCAGCCGTCTAGTGAGAATGCAGCCAGATCAGACTACATATGAGACCCTTTACAGCAGAACATCTGGGAGGAAGGTGAGTGGGAGACAAACAAAGAGGTGAATAAATGGTGTAGCAAAAACCTGCGAAAAATGAACAAAGCCACCCGAGAAGCGCAAGATAAATACAGAAAACCCGACACTGTGCTACAACCTGGTATCGGTGAGACGACAAAAGAAGAATCATGGACATTTGGCCAATTTGTGAAAGCTGTGGAGATGTGGTTTTATAGACAGGTGATAAGAACACTCTGGAAGTATAAAAAAGGGTGAAAATATATCTTGAAAACAAAGATTTGACTCACAAGGAGAACTGATTGCCCACATCAGGAGAAGAACATCTGCATTCTTTGGTCGTGTCATGAAAAGTAGAAAACTGGAGCATATCCTGATGGTGGGAAAGTTGGCAGGGAAATGAAGCAGAGAGAGGCTGAGAGAAAAGGTGCTGGACAATTTGGTGTCATGGCATAGAAGATGTGTCAGAATTGATTTAAAGTGCACAAAACAGAAGGTTGTGGATAGACATGACTACCAACACAATAGTCATGGGTTATAAGAAGAAGGAAGTTCCATTCCTCACTACCCTTGTTATTTATATTCAAAGCCATATTCTGTGTTGTTATTATGTTTTGTTTGGTATTTGTGTGTATGCTGTGTGCCAGAAATACATTTTATAGGGTTTGTCTTGTATGGTTAAATACAAGATTGTATTACATTATCATTTCTTCACATGTGTGTTAAGGGGCCCCATTGTTGGGAAAACAAGAAAAGACCCACTGCCTCCCCAACAAGCATGTCGTAAGAGTCGACTAATTGTGAGCTTCCTTTAAAGTCAGAGCGCATCTGCCTGAGAGGCAAGAAACCAACAGTCTGCTTACAGATAAGACAGATCTGTAAAATAGATGTGCAAGCAACACTGAGGTTCTGGAACAGAACTAAGGTTCAGAGGTGGACAAACAGCCAGAACTTTTTGCCAGAGTTTACAGCTGGCGAACGCAAAGAAGAAGAAGATCATAATTTCTATGCACTGAACCATAAAATAGACTTTTGACCTGTCTTTTAGTTTTTTCAAGGTAAATAAAATAGTCTTTTTTCCTTCTAGGTCCATCAGTTTTCCTGCTCCTGCTGCATCATTTGCTGTCAAATGGCTTTCACATTTACCCTTCATGAATCAGAATCAATAGGGAGCTACAGTAGCACAATGTCTAGACACTTGCCTGCTAGACTGAAGGTGTTGGGTTCAAACCAGCATCTGCCTGTGTGGCTTCTGAGACCACCTTTTCTTATTCTTTATCTTCACCAGCTGTAAACTCCAGCAGAAAGTTCTGGTTGTTCATCCACTTCTGGACTTTGGTCTTGTTTCAGAACTTGAATTTTACATGCACAGCCCTCTTACTTATTCTTAGCATTCACCTGCTGTAAACACCAATGGAAAGTTCTAGGTTTTCCTGGACTTTTGTCATGATCCAGAACTTGAGTTTTGCATGTACATCGATTATACGGGATCAGGCTTAATTGTATGCAGATTGTTGGTTGCTTGCCTTTTAGGCAGATGTTCTCCAACTTTGAAGGAAAGACCTGCTAATTAGGGAGGAGTGGGTCTGTTCATTGTTCATAAACAGAGCCCTGGAACCCACACAGGAAATCTATTTTACAGATCTAGTTTATTTGTTGTGGTCACCTGTCAGTCAGATGTGCTCTCTGACTTCGAAGGGAACAAACCTAATTAGTTTTCTTTTACGACATGCTTCTGGGGGGGGTGGGGGGGGGGGGGCAATAGGGCTATAGTTTTCCCCCTCGAAAATAGGGATCCAGATTCCACACAGGAAATCTCTTCCCACTACCCCAAGAAAAAAAAAGACGACTAATTAGTAGTTTGCTGATATCAGATGTGTTGTGCCAAAAGATGAATGCATTACACTTTTGTTGTAAACCACCTTTTTAAGAACAAACACAAAAGAAGATGAAGAAAAAGAAATCCACATTAAGGCTATCTTTTTACAATTTACCTTGGCCCCTAGGTCAGCTTGCTCTAAAACTGGTAACAGAAAATGTTCTTGAAAGGTATAAATTGCTAATGTAATGCTGGCATTGCCCATTGAGTGCCAGTTTGTTTATGGAAATATTAGTCTACTATATGCCAGTTTACCAACTGTCTAAAGGGTTTTTTACTTACTTATTTCCTGACAGAATCAATATGGGTATTTGGTTGTTCAGCTGTTGTTAGCGCACTTGGACAAGCACACCAAGAGCGACCCTCGTATCAAGACTTGCATAGTCACAGTCCTCTATGAAGCTGTACTGATCTCTGCAGGAAGCTCCACAGGTATGATTCATCATCATCATCATGAAGTGAGTTACTTTGGTCAGTTTCATCAGGCCTGTGGTTCAGTACATCCTTCTTTTTTTTTCTCCTCCTCGTCTGCCTTTGCTCTTTAAAAAAGGGAGTTGACACATTCTGTTGTGGTTAACAGCTAAGCAGTCTTCTTCTTCTTCTTCGCGTTCACCAGCTGTAAACTCTGGCGGAAAGTTCTGGTTGCTCGTCCACTACTGAACTGCAGTCCTGCTAGAGAACCTGAGTGTTGCGTGTGCATCAGTTTTACAGATCTCATTCTCTTGAATACAGAGTGTTGGTTCCGTGCCGCTCCGGCAGATGCACTCCGACTTCAAAGGAAGCTCCCCAATTAGTTGACTCTTACGACATGCTTTTGGGGAGGCAGTGGGTCTATTCTTGTTTTCCCCACAATGGGGCCCCGGAACCCACACGGGGGAGCTAAGCAGTGATACCTGCACATTTTGACACAGCACCTCCAATTTCAGCAGAACTTTACTTAGCTACCTTATCAGGTAACCACTGTTCCAGTTTCATAGTAATTTTGTCACCCCATAGTTGCTCCATTCCTGTGCTGGTGAAAATGACACAGAATGTCCATCACTGTCCCTTAGGAGAGCTGCGTGGTCTCGAGGCATGGTGGTCGCCTGGAGTGCTAGAGGTTCCGGGTTCAATCCCTAGTAAGGGCAGGGATTTTTTCACGTGGAATTTGACTTCTAGTAATGCCCCCTGGTCTCTGGGCAGTGAGAATGGACGCTTGTGTGCATTGTTGCGAACGTAAAAAATCCCTTGGCAGTTGGAAATCGAAAAGAGTAGCCCAACAGCGCTAAAGAGGCAAAAATTTGGGGTTTAAAATCTACCCAAAGTATTTCAGGATCCTCGCCTACAGGTGCTACAGAGCCTATGCACTGTGCTGAGTTAATTCGGACTCAGACGTGAGTTAGAAAAAAGAACGAAACACCTCATGTACCATTATGTTGATCCGTTGTGCAAACCTCTGTCCCTTAAATGCAAAAACAGGCACAGGCTGCAGCCTCAGCAAACCATTAGCCTGTACAGCCATTAAATGAACAAGGCTGCTGTGTCAGAAGTTCAGGCGCAGAAAGTCTGGCACCAGAAATACAGTTCATTGTCTGTGGATGTTGCCCTTTTATGACATGCTTGTTGGGGTTCAGTGGGTCTATACTTTGTTCCTCCAAAATGGGGGAACTGGAACAGGTGAAGTACATCAAATTTTGACTAGCATTTTATTTTCTGGCTGTCTTTCTGTAGCTTTTGACTCTCCCTAGTCTACTACCCATAAGGCTGTTCCCACAGAGCTGTACCAAGGCAACAGGTTTGTATCCGTCTTTGCCTAGTTTCTCTCCCTTGATCTCGGAGACTCTAACAGTAGCTTAGCTACCATTGTCTTGGCTCTTGATGGGGAGGAAGAGAAGGGGTGTGGGGGGGGGGGGGGGGGGAGGAGGGGGGATCATTGGAACCCATAAATCCTTTTTTTCACAGTGGAGATATATCAGAATGGTGAGACTTTCTATAGCAAGCCTCCCTCTGTGATATCCAGAAAGTTGTTAATATTTTATCCCCCCCCCCCCCCCCAAAAAAAAAAGGTTATGTGACCAAAAAAAAGTCCCAAAAAAAAAACTACTACTCTAAATGATAAAAATGCAAAGAAATGGTTCAAGAATGAGAAGGAGCATTTTATGCATATCTGATCTTTGGTTTTACCTGATATATATGTATGTAGTTTGAAAATCATCTTCCATTAAAATGTTGTTTTTTTTTTTAAATTCTGTCACCACTAGTCATCAGTAGCTTTCTTTCATTGGTGAGGAAGGTTTTCAAAACTTATTCAAAGTTGTCTGCATCTGTTGTTTCATTAAGACCCTTCTAGAATAATTAATGACATTATCATTGAAGTCATTGATGGCTCTAGAAGCAACCAGCTTGATTTGGATGCCACTTGTTCACTAATTCTTCTGATTTGCCCCAGTGCTGCAACATTTTTGTATTGTCACTTGTTAGGATTGCTCCCTTTTGTTGCTATCTTCATTCTCTAAAGACATTACTCTTCTTCGCATCCCTTACTTTTTTTTCCTGTTCGGTTCTTAACTCTTGAAGCTCTTCAGTGGTCAGCTCAGTTGTATTCTCTACTGCCAACTTTTGTATATCTGCTTCAGTAATATCCACATGTATGGTCTTGCCCAGGGAGACAATTCCATTGACACAATACATGCATTGCACACACCACTGGTAGCGCCCTGTTCCAGATAAATGTGACTTAGTAACAACAAACGCGCACATTTGCAGCACATCCTGGTCGTAATCATCATGTTGCAGGTCCTTTGCAGAATGTCACGCACATTGCCGTGTGTCTGAAAGAAACTCGGTTTCTTGCCAGCTCTCCTGCCTGTGCTATATTTTTTTCCATCCGCCACAACGCTTGAAATTACCAAAATATTTCAGGTTCCGAGACAAGATGCTGTTTATTAGCCAATCTTCCTCGATGTTCAGATATTTAAAATATCAGTATTTATTCTCTTCTTTGTTCCTTGTATTCTGAGAATCTTTCTATAGCATTTCAGCTCAGAAGCCCCTATTTTCTTAAGAACTGGGAGATAGTCCATGACTCACATCCATATGTTGCTACAGGGAAAATGCATTTTCTCAGAATTTTAATTTTGATTTCCTTGCAGGTGCTTAACCATAGACTTTTAATGCCCCCTTTGTTTTGTTTTGCTTCCATAATTTGTTTCTCAATTTAATAATGTGGTAGTTTCTTGCATATCGCAGTACATATGTAAAATATAGGTTTGTATGTAAAGATTAAAATAGGATATGAAAAGGTTCATATCAAGAAATATGTGTACGTTAAGCGGTTCATAAGTCAAGGTACCACTGTATTATGGGAATATTTTTCATCTGTCTGCATGGCCCTGTGAGTTCATTGTATAGACATTCTAGCTATATTGTTCTCAAGTTTTCTTATCATGTCTGTTCTTCACCTCTTGATTTACTGGAATTTGTTTGGTTCTCTTTCAAAGCTCCACATTTGTGATTGTATCATACAATTTAATTTCCTTTATTCTGCACAGCAAGCAGTTAATGAATGTTTATAGTGTATTGGTAATTTTTTTGGTTGTTCACCATTTTCTGCTCCATACAGCAGAACTGATTTGACATCAGATTTAAAACTTTCAAGTTTGATGCTAGTTTTAATTTCTTCTGACCTCCACAAATTTCATAGTGCTCTGAAAGCACCTCTTGGCTATTGTATTCATATTCTAATATCCCTAACAGTTCCCCCAATCTTTATCAAAATTACTGCTCAAATTGGTGTAGGGACTCTACGTCTTGGAGTGGGATATCATTAGGAGAAAACACATTACTGTTTGCCTGATTTATTCTTATTATCTTTGTCTTTCCATAATGGATTTTCAGACCAAGCTGCTGTAATCTTGCATCAAGTATAATTAATTTATCTTGCATCTGATTCCCTGAGTGGTATAGAAGAGAAATATCATCAGCGAAGTCCAGGTCATTGAGCTGTTTTACAGGGTCCACTCTACCATTCCTGCTGTTAGCGGTGGCTGTCTTCATAATCCAGTCTGTTGCCAGAAGTAATAGGAGAGGCGACAAAAGAGATCCCTGTTAGACACCAGTTCTTATTTAAAATGTATCTGTTAGCTTTCCTTCATGAAGAACTCATCCTTCCATGTCGTTATATGTTCCTTTTACTAAGTTAATCATTTTCTGTAGAATTCTGTTGTGCGCCATTAATTTTCAGAGAGATTCTCTATCATTGCTGTAAAAACTATTTTTTTTTTAGTCTATGAATCCAGTGTAATGTGGTGAATTCAATGCTTTGCTCAGTTATTATGCTCAGTGTGGCTATCTTGTTAGTACAGGATCTGTTTGGCCGAAAACCTGCCTTTTAATCTCTTAGCTTTTTATCAATAGCATCTTTTAATCTTTCCAAAATAATCCTTCTTAATATTTCTTTTTCAAGGAACTGACAGCAACATAATTCCTCTGTAGTTCTCACACTCCTGCATATCAATTTTTTTTAAAGGTGGGAGGGGGGGGGGGGGGGGGCATTGTCACAAGATAACCTTCTCTCCAGTCTGCTAGTATTTCTTAAGTCTCCCAGACTTTACTGAATAATCTGTGTAGCAATTTCGTTGATATGTTTATATTGGCCTTAATAACTTTTGCTGGGACACCATTTGGACATGCAGCTTTTCCTTCGTTCAGCAGATCAATAGCCTTCCTAATTTCCTCTTTAAATGGATCCTCCCTTGAGGTCCCCGGTACCATACGGGCACCTCTCACCTTTAAATGTGGTCAGAAAAGAAAAACTTCCCAACCGAGGGTTGAAGTTCTCAAAATGTATTGTAAGGCTTCATAGTCTTTAGAGCATGAAGCAGAACAGCCTAACCATTTCACCAGAGAGACTTTCTGTTCCCTGCATAAAATAGCTAAAAAAAACACAGTCAGAAAAAAAAATGAAAAAATGTAAATTTATTTTTAGTTTTTTAACATTTTATTTAATAGGTCCATCAGTGCTAGAAGTGTTTAACAATTTGCTGCGACATCTCAGAATCTCCATAGATCGCAGGAGTGCAGATCAGAGCCTGCGCAATGAGGAGATTAAGTTTGAAGATGTTGTTGTAAATACAATTGGTAAGATGTCTCTGACTTTTTTAAGGATTAGTTTCAACAGAGTTATAGTTATTGTTTACATAAAGTTACAAAGGTTAGAAGGAAGCATGTATATTTTTTGATAAATGAATCCTTAAACATGCAAGGAAATATGTGGGGAAAGGGGGGGGGGGGGGGGGGGGGGGGGTGTTGAGTTAGAAGGTGTGGAGTTGGTGTGTGTGTGTAGTAGCTGCATATGTGTTTTGTTTTACTAATTTATTTTCTGTATATGAAGGAACATTTTGAATTTGTTACAATTACTGACTGTCAGAGAATGAATGTGCAGACAATTAATTTATAAATTAATGTGTTTAATAGTAAAGAAGTGGGGTGTAAATTTTTCATTAATAATGGGAAGAAGTCAAGATGTTTTTAATAAGAGGCTTACAATGTCTGTTCCTGTCATTTAAAAGTGATAGTTTCAAACTCTAGGGCTCTATCTTGTCGTCCCCATGTGAGATGCGATCTTAAGTATTTTGAAGGCCCACCCTGGCTTTTGTTGGGGGCCCTAAATATAGCCGGGCCTTAAATATGGCTAATGGCTGAACAGGGTTTCCAGAACCTCTCCAAGGGTGATCCTCATCGCATGGTGGCACTTTGTGTCATCGGGTGTTTGTCGGTTCTGTTATATCCTGGTGGGGTACAACTTACTCCAGGGCTTCTGTCACTCTTTCTTTCTGTAGTCTAGTGTGTCCTCTGCTTCCTGCCTATTTGACTACTGTGACTGAAAATTAATAACAGTGAAATTGTGTTCTCTGTAATTTTATGTGGTCAGGAAATGTCTCATATCTGAGTTTTAAAAAGTTAGTTGTGTGTCCTTTACAGGACGTTGCAGAACCAATCCCAACAGATTTGGGCTGTTATGGTTTTTCTAGGATAATTTTACATTCAGTAGTATGTCATTGCTTACTGAATGTCAGCTCTCTGTACCACTGTCGAAACAAATGCAAGGCAAACCGTCCATAGCTTGGATCGAATCTGGAACCCTGGCATTATGAAGCTCGCTCGCAACACCTAAGTCACAGACGCTGACCATATCTGGGTAGCATGTTCTTTCAAGAAGTGTGATTTCAACAAAAACTGTGTCAACCAAACAATTTGCTAAAAACCTCTTTCGTGGTGTAGAGGCTAGATACTCGCCTGCTGATCAAATTTGTGTGTGTTCGGGTCCTGGCAGAGCCAGACTTTTGAAAGATAACCTTGGCTGCCAGGTCAACCCAGCCTGAGATATGTACCAGGTACAGTCATGGGAAGTAAAGGCGGTCTAAGTGATGTTGACCACATCACCCACTGAATGCTGGTTCTTCTGTAAAATATAGGGTTAGCCCTGTATGCCCAGTGTGCTGAAGGCTTGGGAAAGGCTTCTTTGTTTCATGTTACTTTACTTCTCTTCTTCTGCATGATTGCTGGCTGTAAACTCTGGCAGAAAGTTCTGGTTGTTCATCCACTTTGGTCTTGTTCCAGAACTTGAGTTTTGCATGCACATTTATTTTAGATATCTGGCTATTTGTATGTCTGGTAGTCTTAGTTTCAGCTTCATAGCAAACGGATCACTCCATCTTTGCTCCGCTCCTGTGCCAGCGAAAAACACACAGAATGTTTATCACAGTCCCTTGTGAAAGATTGACAGACTGCTGTCTCAGCATATCTAGCATACACACGCATTAAAGCAAACGGTAGCCATCCGAAGTGCCAACACAAACAGTCCGACATTATAAATGCAGTTCATCATTGATGGTAGCAGAAGGCTATTTGTAAGCAGACTGTTGGTTCCATGCCTGTCAGGCAGCTGCACTCTGACACCCCTAGTCACGTCAGATGACATGCTTGTGGGGGAAGGAGGCAGTGGTGCTGTCATCACTGCCTGTATTTACCAATTCTCAGAGAATGTAAGTAGGGCAGGTGGAGGGAGGCTGTGATCATTAGGATTTAGACCGAGAATACGGCAGATTACTGTAAATGTTGTCATTAGAAATATGAACTTTACAATCATGATCTGTATTCTTCACAGGTGAATTTGCCAATAACCTTCCAGACTATCAGAAGATTGAGATCATGATGTTTATTATGGGCAAATTTCCTCATTTTACTAGTGATGAGGAGATTGGGTATGATATCTTTTCTTTACTCTTGATTGCAGCTTTGGACGTTTGTTGATTTGTCTTATTGTCTTATAGTTATGAACCTTTTGCTTCAGGAATGCTAGAAAAAAACCTGTGGGAAGTCCTCCCAAAAAATCCTTTAAAAAAGAAAAAAAGCATTTCACAAGTGTAAGGCCTTTATTTACATTAATATATCCGGCTACACCGGAACCTGAAGCCATGACCTTCCGATCCACAGGCAAGCGCCTAGCTGCTACGCCATGGCCGCTCCCTTTGGTTTTCCATTCAGGAGGAGATTCTTGAAGTCTCATTGGTGACCACTCTAGGTAGCAGCCAGAAAGGGAAAACATGTTGACAATGGGGCTGGAACTGTATGCACCTCTAATCAACTGTTCAGTCTTTTATACCCAGATTAGACATCAGAACTGTGTCAGGTTGTTTCACAGGGGATAGTGATGGATGTTCTGTGTGGTTTTTGTTGGCACAGGAATGGAGCAACTGTTGGGTATAGACATTTGAACTGTGTCAAGCTGTTTCACAGGGAGTAGTGATGGACGTTCTGTATGGTTTTTGTTGGTACAGGAGCGGAGCAGCTGTTGGGTAACCCAATGCTATGAAGTTTGAACTGTGATTACCGGGTTACCTGTTCCCTGCCCATAGTTCCAGGAACATTATGACAGCCTGAGGTTCTTGAGAAATTCGTTATCATCAAACCCTTGGTGCCATTGACCTGTCACATAAGTTTCTTTGTTGATTCTTCCATTTAGTTCTATCCTATTCAGTACATTTTATATTGTGCATAGAATGCAATCTGTCACTTCTGTCTTCTCTCATCAAGGTGTGTTTTACAATTTCTCTTGAACCTCCTTGTTTCTGAACGCATTTGTTCCCATTTCATTGCTTGTTTTTTGTGTCCAGAGGAATTGCCCACAACTGACATACCAGTTTGACTTTTTTTTTTAAACCATATCTTTACGCTGCATAGAGAACAGTTATGAATTAATCATCATATCCAGTTGTAATTAACAGCTTCAGTAACTTTTGGTTTCATTTTTACTTTGTCTGCAGAAAAATGGACAGGCAGTTGTATGTAAATTTATTGCGTACATTACTTAAGGTAATAGTTTTTGTGGGTTTGTTTTATTGTCATTTAAATTTTAAAATGTGATTGAATATTAGCATTGTCTTCTTCTTTTTCTTCTTCTTCTCTTCTGTTTTCTCCTCTGTCTCCTTTTGGTACCCTTAGAGGACTGCTGGGTACACCACTTAATGTAGTTGTAACAGGTGCTTTAGTGTACCTTCTTTGGAGGTTAACCTGGCTGTCTGAGATTTGCTCTGCTGCTTTGCCAATCAGAATGCAATTCTTGAAGTCACAGGGGCAGTAAATCAGTTGGGGGGGGGGGGGGGGAGGGTCACTCCTCTCTCTGTTTCTTCTGCCTCCTAGCTTTTACTTTTACTCTGTCTTTCCCATATTACCCATCTGTCTGTCATTCTCTATTCAGTGCATGTCTACAGATCCATGACAGAGAGGTTAGGCTTGCGAAGAAAACTGATTACCAACATCAGAAGCCGACAATGCACATTCTAGTGATGTCATGAGAAAATCACAATTGCAGCGTTGTGCCATGACACTGAGACAGTTTAAGGAAAAAAGAAAATGAGGAAGATCAAGAGAGAGGATGTTAGACAATCTGACATCCTGACACAGACAGTTTAAGGAGAAAAGGAAAAGAGGAAGGTCAAGAGAGAGGATGTTAGACAATCTGACATCCTGACACTGAGACAGTTTAAGGAGAAGATGAAAAGAGGAAGATCAAGAGAGAGGATGTTAGACAATCTGACATCCTGACACTGAGACAGTTTAAGGAGAAAAGAAAATGAGGAAGATCAAGAGAGAGGATGTTAGACAATCTTACATCATGACACTGAGACAGTTTAAGAAGAAGAGGAAAAGAGGAAGATCAAGAGAGAGGATGTTAGACAATCTGACATCCTGACACTGAGACAGTTTAAGGAGAAAAGAAAAAGAGGAAGATCAAGAGAGAGGATGTTAGACAATCTGACATCCTGACACTGAGACAGTTTAAGGAGAAAAGAAAAAGAGGAAGATCAAGAGAGAGGATGTTAGACAATCTTACATCCTGACGTCTGCATCAGAAATGATTGACAGTACATGAGACAGAAGGTTGTGGACAGACAGGATGAGCAGTGCCACATAGCATAGGCTATAGGCAGATTTCCACAAAGTCCCTTTTTTGTTTTTGATGAACCACCACCTCTGAGATCTCCTGCCAGTCTGATATAGACCATAATGCATAGGGCACGACAAGGACGTGTGGCGGGAGTCTTGCATGAGGATCAGTAAGAACTAGCCCAAAGCCTGCTGGTGCCCAGGGAAAAACAGAGAATCTCTTTCTCAGGTGTGTGACTGAAACCACTGTGCAACTGTTCAACCATATAAAATAGTTATATTGAGGCACCCTTTGTCTACTTAAAATAACCTGCTATCACCCAGGGTGGGTAGAAGTAATTCTTGAACAACTGGGCTGTCAAGTAACATATTTACACTGTTAATTATAATCTTTGTACCAGGTGGCTACCAAATATAAAACAGTCAGTCTGACACAAGCTTTTCCGCCAGAGTTTCTCAACCCTCTGCTGCGAATATCCTTGATAGACGACCCTGGCATGCGACTCATTGTTCAAGAAATTCTGCACACCCTGCTGGATCGTCACGGCAATGCATTCCGACTAAAGCACATTAGGTAAGACATTTTATGTTGTTATTCATGTATCCTTTACAAGACTGCCTTTTAATCCCATCAGTTATAGGCTGTTATGTGATGTTTTTTTTTAATAGGTGACAATTCTACATTCAGTAATTTGCCATTGCTTTCTGAACAGTGCAAAGTTTATACTTTTTGTCAAAATCAATGCAAAACAGTCTGCTATCAAATTACCAGTATCTCATTCTGAACCCTGGTATTGTCAAGATTGTGAAACTGTTCACAGTCAAAAGCATGGACAACTAACAAATAACTTCACTTACTGATTTGTTGATGCTTATACCCTTTTTTAAATCAGTGCAAAGCAATCTGTTTTAAAATTTCCTGCAGCTAAATCGATCACGGGATGTTCAAATTATAAAACTGCATTCATAACGCCATTCTGATCAGGCACTTGTGCGGCATGCTTTATTACAAACGTACTGATGTTACCCTTCCTTCAGAGTAAACTTGACAGTCCGAGAGAGGGATCATGCTGCTTATGATGTTCTTAAAGAATGTGGATGTGAGCAGCATGTGCTCTCTACAGTACTGCCCAGGATTTGTGCTCTGGATAGGAATTTCATCCCAGGTCTTAATTAGTCTTGGGAAACAGTAGTTTAAAAAACAGAAAAGTGGCAACCATAGAGGATGATTGTTCCTTTGTTTAAACTTATTGTTCCTTGTTTCAGCATCCCTAAAGATATTTCTTCATTACATCTGACAATAAAGGCTAACCCAAGGCAAGAGTTGCTGTTTATGAAAAAGGTAATTCATCCTGACTGGTTATGTATAATCTCATCTCATCCTGACTGGTTGTGTATCATCTCATCTCATCCTGACTGGTTGTGTATCATCTCATCTCATCCTGACTGGTTGTGTATCATCTCATCTCATCCTGACTGGTTGTGTATCATCTCATCTCATCCTGACTGGTTGTGTATCATCTCATCTCATCCTGACTGGTTGTGTATCATCTCATCTCATCCTGACTGGTTGTGTATCATCTCATCTCATCCTGACTGGTTGTGTATCATCTCATCTCATCCTGACTGGTTGTGTATCATCTCATCTCATCCTGACTGGTTGTGTATCATCTCATCTCATCCTGACTGGTTGTGTATCATCTCATCTCATCCTGACTGGTTGTGTATCATCTCATCTCATCCTGACTGGTTGTGTATCATCTCATCTCATCCTGATCCTCATGGGCCTTGTGGTGGTATAGTGAAGTATTTACTGCAGGAGAGTTCCCGTCTGTGTGCTTTGTTTATGGGGATACCCTGAAACTTTTTTATGTCATCTGTCCGTCACTTGCATGGTTAGCTTCCTGTATGGGTTTCGAGTCACCATTTTAGAGAGGGGGATGGACTGACTGCTCCTCTTCCTTAACAAACGTGTTGTAAGTCTCGACTAATTAGGAATGTTTCCTTTGAAGTTGGAGTGCATCTATCTGAGAGGCAAGAAACCAGCAGTCTGCATACAGATAAGCCGGATCTGTAAAATAGATGTGCATGCAAAATTCAAATTCTGGAACAAGACCCCCAAGTTCAGAAGGGGTTGAACAACCAGAACTTAACACCAGAGTTTACAGAATTTGAACGCAAAGAGAAGTAGCAGCAGTATCAGCCTTCTTATTTGATTCCTGCTTGGTCTGTACATTGTTATTGTTGTGTACTCTGCCTGGGGTGTAGAAAGGGTCCTTGTCTTATAAACCTGCTACCTCAGCAGTAAAGAATAGAAGTGCCAAATGTAAACCCTTGAACTGACAGTTGAAACTCCACGTGGATTGTCCATGGAAACAGAATGTATTCACAAACCTTGCAGTGATTGTGACACTGTCGACACATGTTGGCATAATAATTGAAGCATCACTTGGTGGATATGAACAGCCAGGACCTCCACATCACCAACTGTGTTGATTAGACAAAGAAGAAGTAACAATAAATGGGATATGTTCCAAATAGAACAGAGGTATGGTATCAAATAGATATATAAAGTATATATTTTATCGTCCTCTTCTAGTATGTGCCATGTGGTTTTGCTATTTGTGTTTGCATGCAGCATTCTGTCACTTGTGCTGTCAATCATTTCTATTACAGATGTCAATTCATGTCATGCAGCCAAACATTTCTCCTTTCTTGATCTCCTTCGGGTTCTCTTTTCCCACTTCTTATGTCATACATTAGTTTTTCCTTCTTCATGATGTACTTAAAGAAAGTGGATTGGTTGGTTTTTTTTTTTTTTTTGGATAGGGTATTCCTTTCTGTTCATGAGTTAACTGCTTGCAAAATATTTTAATTACAAATCCATTTCTCTCCGAGCTTCTACCTACTTTTTTACCAAGCAACTGATATAATTTTCTTCTCTATATCAGGATTGGCATTGTATAGCTCTTGAGAACTTTGTCGACCAAATTGACAAAGCTAGATTGCATAGAATATTCTATCACCAGGAAGGCTAACTTGATCAACAAATGTCTGCAAAAGCCGGATATGTCTGCCAAAAGGCGCAGATATCGCTGCTGTGTTGTAAACAGGCACAACGCATTTACATCTTTAGATGAATGCAGAAGAAAAAGAATATTCTTCCAGTGAAATGTCTGTTTTAATGTTTTTATTTTAGCTGTGCATATATTGTCTCAGTGATCAGTGTCATTTATCTGATTGAATGTGTACAGAGTGGAATGCAGCTGTACTGGCACATTTTAGAAAACTTGCAGTTAGAGTCAAATCGTGTGGACAACTTTGAGGCTATCTACTGCACCATGTGTCTTATCTGCCTGGAGGTTGGCCAGGATGAGGTCATCATTGAACTAGCCAGGTTGGCCTTGGATATTCAAGTAGGTCATCTTTTATTTTTTGTAATGCACCAAAAACAGTTTTTGAGTTAGTGCCAAACTGTGTGGTTTTCTCCTTATGTGTGTGCACCATTTTCAGAATGGGAATGTGGAGGGAGGGGGGTTGAGAATAGACCAACTGTCCCCTAGCTAACATGTCATAATAGGCAACTAATTGTGGGTTCTTATTTTGAAGTCGGAGGGCATCTGCCTGAAAGGTGGGAAACCAACACTATACATACAGTAAGCCAGATCTGTAAAATCTATGTGCACACAAAACTCAAGTTGTGGAACAAAACTTAAGTCTGGAAATCAATGACAACCAGATCTTTTCACCGGAGGTTACAGCCTGTGAACATGAAGAAGTGACACTTTTACTAAAGGAGACCAACAAACAAACAAACAAAAAATGGAGAAAACATGTTTGTAACCCTTTGAAGTTTCTGTTTTCTTCTGCATTTGCCCTTAAAAGGGTGCTTGGTGACTTGTTTTGATGTTGACAGCTAGGCTGTGATATCTGCACCTATTGCCCCAACATGTCCAATTTCGCCAAAACTTTAACTCTTTCATTCCAAGGGCCGCAACATACTTTTTTAGGTTACTTCCCAGAAACCCAATGAATGCAAGATGTACTGATTTTATGTCTCTGTTTAGTACCCCTTGGGCCTAATGCTAAACCCCCTGAAGCCCGGCTCGCTAGCGTAGTTGGTTAAACCTGACTTCGCGGCAACCGGGTGATGAACTCCTTGTGGTCCGGGTTCACGCTCAGGGGTAGGCAGAAAAGCCTAATTTCTCCCAGATTTATGATATCTATCATGGAATCAAGGCCTAAGGGTAGTGATGTCCATAGTACCGAGCCAAAGGGTTAACAACTGGCACATCACAAAGAGGCGAAAACTATAGTATGACATAAGAATGAGGAGAAGAGAGCCAGAGGCAGACCAAGAAAGAAGATAATGAAGAGGCCTGTGACAGCTTTGATCCATTCACTGTTGGAGGCAAACCTATCCCAGAACGCAGATATGCAGATAACTGTGATAGGTTGTGATATCTGCACCTGTTGTCCCAAGACATCCAATTGCAGGTGCTATACCATAGGTTCTTCATGGTCTTTAGCCTCTGCATTGCCAACGTAAGTCTTTTTCTGACTTTTGATTACTCACCTTTTGAATGTTGAATGTTGAATTAAGAATCAACATCACAGCACTCTGGACACTCCCAAAAGTGCTCAGTCCCCATCTTCAGCAGCAAGCAGAGAGTTCCAGTTTCGATGGTACCAGTAACCGTCTGATTGTATATCCGTCTCATGCTTCCCCTGAGTGTTGAGCGTCGGTCAGATTCCCTGGTAACTCCTCGCAGCTCCATTCTCCTCAGACCGTAAATGATCTCACTCGCTTCCAAAGGGTCCTCACAATATCTAACTTTTCATACCTTTTATAACATTCTTGTTAAGGAACAGTGGATCTCTTCCTTTGGTTTTTCAAACGGGTCCTGCAACCAACACGGTTTGCTTCAAAAATAAATTAGCGGCGCTGTGAAGTGGGAGCCGTGGTGATGTAATGGCTAGGTGCTCACCGCCGGCCAAAAAGTCATGAGTTCAGATCCACATAATGTCCGATTTAAAAAAAAAAAAAAAAAAATTACTTTGGCTTCCAGGTAAGCTCAGCCTTAAATAGGTACTAGGTAAAGTTCTGGGAAGTAAAGGCAAACAGCATGGTGTTTACCACATCAGCCATCAAGTGTGCCAATCAGTGGGACTATAAATGAGTGTAGCATCATGTGCCTGATGGGCCACTGATGAAATAAGGGTCCTTTACTTGAGTCTTCTTTTTCTTTTTCGCATTCACCTGCTGTAAACTCTGGTGGAAAGTTCTCGTTGTATGTCCACTTCCAGAACCTGAATGTTGCATTTGCATCCGTTTCATAGATCTGACTCATTTGTATATAGACTGCTGGTTCCTTGCCTCTCAGGCAAATGCATTCTGACTTCGAAGAACAATCTGCAAATCACCGCAGGCAGGATAGTTTTTCTCACTGACTCACTGTCAGCTGTACAGGCCCTTGAGTCCAAACCTACCGACAGCACACTACAAAGTATAACACAGGAACTTGCTATGTTGTCAAATAAGGCAGAAATTCACTTGCAGTGGATTCCGTCTCACTGCGGCATCAAAGGCAATGAAAGCGCAGATGCTTTAGCCAAGGAAGGCAGTAACAAACTACAGACCTACCAGCCACTATCTTTTCCAGAAGTCAAAACTCTCATTAAGAGAAAATCAGAAACAGACTGGAAAAACAACACTGGTTATGACTACGGAAAAGATTTTCTGAGGCACTTGAACAGAACAGACCAAGTCACAGTTTTTCGCTTACGCACTGGACACTGCAGACTCAATAAACACTCATATAAATTAGGTATGAGTCAAACAGCTCTCTGCCAGTGTCTTCGTGCTGAACAGACTCCAGAACATGTCCTGCAAGACTGTCCTCTCCTGGCGGAGCTGCGGAGCGACATATGGCAACACCCAGTAGAACTGACAACTAAGCTTTGGGGAAACCTAAGAGACCTTGAAAAGACATCCCAGTTTATGACCCACAGTGGATTATGCGCATGACCAGAGATTGCTGAAGAAGAAGAAGACTTCGAAGAAAGCTCCCAATTAGTTGACTGTAAGAACATACTCTTGGGTAGGCAGTGGGTCTATTCTTGTTTTCCATTTAATAGGGCCCCAGCACCCGCACAGGGACTTTACTTTAATGACGTGAATTACTGCTATTACATAGCATATAATGTTGCGGATCACTATCTTAAGAATGTCCTCATGAAAGCAAAAATAAATATTGACATTCTGAAAGATCTGAGCGTCAGAGAAAACTGGCTTGTAAACAGCATCTTGACTTGGAAAATGAAATATTGTGGCTGTTGCAGCAGCTTGGAAAGATTAGTAATGGAGAGCATAGTACTGGGTAAGAGAAAGCATGGGCTGCAAGACATAAGACATACCTTGTGCTGGAAGACATAAGAGATACCTTGGGCTGCAAGACATAAGAGAAAGCATGGGCTGCAAGACATAAGAGATACCTTGGGCTGCAAGACGTAAGAGATATCTTGGGCTGGAAGACATAAGAGATATCTTGGGCTGCAAGACATAAGAGATATCTTGGGCATAAAAGTACATGAGGTGGGAAAGCTGGTGAGGGGCAGGCTGGGATGGGGGGCAACATTCTGTAAAGGACCTGCTACATGATGATGATGATAAGTAGTTACTTGTGATATTTTTTTAAATGTTTTATTTTGTGTTATTATGGAGATCTCTTGTCTTTGCAGCAACTGGCTTTGAAAAGTACCAGCCTGCCAATGACCCACCTCTGTGCCATACACAGCCTTGTTGCAGCATTTCTCAACTTTGTGGGCCAGACTACTAGCCTTTGCACACTCTATCACTATGTTCAGAGGGTTAGTATTGACTGTTTAACATACCCTATACCTACAGGGTGAGAGAGAGAGAGCAGTTGGTACCTGTGTACATTATCTCAGTTCCTGAATAACGTTTGTTTTCTGTATTCCCTGTCTGGGACTGTAGCCTCCAGGTTTGACATCCACTGATTTAAGGCGCCATTCTTTGAATGTAGATCTAACAGTAATAAGTGTTGTGCAATATTCTTCTTCTTCTTCATTGTTTATCGGAATGCTCTATGTGCATTGTGGCTGTTTACAGCATAGGTGCAGTATTTTCAGATTTTGGCCGACAAGTCCAACTTCTTCAGGCATTCGTTTTCCATGTTAGCCTTCCCTGTTACTTTTAGACATGTGTGGCCTCACATGTGTGGAAACTTTGTCATCCCCTAGTCTACAGGTGTTGCCCTAAGGGACCCCTCTAGGGCAGAGGCATGCAGCTTGGTTTAGCCTTCAAAGAAAGGCAGGAGCAGAGCATGGGCATTCTCTGCCATGCAAGAAGGCTTCCATAAATGCAGAGCTGAGACACCTTGGGCTCACCCAAGGAAGCAATACCTTCTGGACATAGTTGCCTAATCTGACAACTGTATATTGTGCTTTCACCCATTACAGGCTGCCCCCCTGTAAGAATCCTCATGAGGCACTCTGCAGACCTGAGGCTCTGATTCCCTGCACAGGCATCTCACTTCCGCAGCATGTTAGACTTCTCTCTTTGACAATGGCACCTTTCATGTGAAGACCCCGCTGGCATTTTTGCAGGTTTTGTTAATAGGAAGCATGCACCAAGCATGATTTCCGTGTGTGGTCATTACACTATGACAGATGTGGCCATTGCTACGGATGTTTGAACCTTTTGTGTCCTGAAGTAGGATCTTTGAGCGAGGAACATCTGAAACTTTGCTGTCATACAATAGGATACTCGATGGACGGACATTTGAACTTAAGCAGCTATGCAGTATGAACCTCGGTTGACAAATTTTATAATATAGTAGGACTTTCGGATGTCAGGCATTTGAACCTAAGTTTGCCATTTATTAGGGTACCTGGCCAGTGTGTTTACTTATGTTTCAATTGAGTTTTCTATGTGCGTTATCGACTTATCGACCATATGGAGGGGGGTGGGATTGCATGAGGATCAGTAAAACCAGCACAAAGCCTGTTGTTGCTCTAGTGGAAACAACAGAGAGTGTCTCCCTTACGTCTGTGACCGAAATCACTGTGCGACTGTTGAACCATATAAAATAGTTATATTGGGGTACTCTTTTCTACTTGAAATAACCTGCTATCATCCAGTGTGGGTAGAAGTAAGTCTCGAACACTGGTGAATAGAAATAGAACATATAACTTGGAAACATAATTGTTTTTCTTAGTGTGCGGGCTGTCGTGATATAACATATTTACACTGGTAAATAGAAATAGAACATATAACTTTTAAACATAATTGTTTTTCTTAGTGTGCAGGCTCTCATGATATAACATATTTACACTGGTAAATAGAAATAGAAGATATAACTTTTAAACATAATTGTTTTTCTTAGTGTGCAGGCTGTCATGATATAACATATTTACACTGGTAAATAGAAATAGAACATATAACTTTTCAACATTATTGTTCTTCTTTACGTTCACTGACTGTAAACTCGTGCGTCCGCCTCCCGACTTTAGTCTTGTTCCAGAAACTGAGTGTTGCATTTTACAGATCTGGCTTATTTGTATACAGACTCTTGGTTCCTTGCATCTCAGGCTCTTGTACTCCGACTTAAAAGGATGCCACCAATAAGTCGACTTCTACATCATGCTTGTTAAGCAGGCACTCAGTCTATCCCCCCCCCCCCTTCCCGCCATGAAGCCCCTGAACCCACATGGGAATAAACGTAACAAAAAGATCATCAAAGAACATCAAATGAAGTGGTTTGGACGTCTAAAAAGAATGCTCTGGTACAGTCTACAGCAGCAAGCCACACTGAAACGTTACAACAGGTATAGAGCGAGGGAAAGACCTCGTAAAAGATGGAGTGATGGCATAAAGAACAAACAGCCTTACAGAAATGAACATCAGTCTTAATAGTGCTCTTGGCAGAGCTCATTAACAAACGCTACATCAACCACCGGACTCTTCACTGAGATACAAGGTGAACGAGAAGAAGAAGAAGAAGAGGAGTTGTGTCACTTTTTAGTATGATCAGCAGCTATGCATTTGTTTACTAGTTGTCTGATTCTTGCATGTTGTAGGTGGTGGAGAACAGAGAGTTAGAAGCCCCACACCTTTTACCTGACTTTGCCTTTAACCGATCAAACCAACCCAACAGGTTTGTACATATTTTGATCATATTTGGTTTCAATTTTCTACCGAGTTTCTATAACTTTTGTGTTTCAAAATTTTTTTTTTTAAATATTTACATAAATGAAAATTGTCATTTTGAAAAAGTTAGTTTGTATCTGTGGTTGATGTGTTTACTAAGAGCATAGAATGAAATAGTAAACATTTCCATCATAGGACATAAGTTTAGAAGCATATTAAATAGATATTAACTTAAAAGAATGTCTGGAAATATAAGTACAAGGTGTCCCACAAGTTTCCATGCATAGGACGATATAAACATTTTATTTTAAATGAAAACCATTTTTATTTATATGAGAACACATGTAAGCAGATATTGATATATTTTGCAGCCACATGTACACACAATTTTTAATTGGCAAATCAGCCATGTGCACATATGGGTTAGCTCCTGAAACAACAGATCACATCCTCCAAGACTGTCCCAAATACAACATATCAAGGCAAAACTTTTGGCCAAGAGAAACACCGGTACAAGCCACCAAACTATACAAGTCGCTGAGTCAGTTAGAAAATACAGTGAAATTCTTGCTAGAGACATAGCAGATATAGATAATCTATTTCAAGCGAACGAAAGAAGAAGAACATATATGCACAGCTGAGTTATCTTGTAATGGCATTGGTCGTATGTTTATTTTTCCCATGTGTGGATACTCAAGTGGCACCTTGTATAATTAAGGGGCTGTGTGGTGACCTCAAGGCATGTTGTCAGCCTCGAGGGTTAGAGGTTCCGGGTTCAATGGTAAGGGCTGGGTTTTTTTCACGTGGACTTGGACTTCTAGTAATTCCCCCTGGTCTCTGGGTAGTGAGATCGGATGCCCGTGTGCATTGTTGCTTACGTGAAAAAATCCCTTGGCAGTTGGAAATCGAAAAGAGTAGCTGCCTGGGAAAAATTTGGATTTAAAAATCTACCCAAAGTATTTAAGGATCCTTGCCGGTGCTACAGAGTATGTGCACTGTGCTGAGCATCTTCGCACTCAGACTTGAGTTAGAAGAAAGAACGGAGCACTTATGGGTTACTACCCGTGTGCCATGTGTACCAGAACAGTACAAAAGAACAGTGAATAAACTTCTTCGGCATTCACCATTACAAGATTGGTGGGCATGTTGTTTACAGATAGGATAGAAATCTCCACCTTTCAGTCCCAGCACATCAAATATCTGCAAACTCCTAATTGATCACTTTCCGTGTGATGGGGCCGGTGGGTCTGTTGTTTTCTTCCAAAATGGAGCCCTAGAATCTATGTAGGAAAGTGAATAATTAATTTATACTCTTTTTTTTTTTTATGTATATATTTTTGTTTATAAGGTAATTATCTTTCTCTTTTTTTTTCATATGTTGTAACAAACATATCCATAGTATTCAGTCTAGTTTTGCATTTGCGTGAATATTTTATAACCAGATGTTAAAAAAAAAACTGAAATTCATTGTATGATGTCATTGAATATTCTAGCTGAGATATTCATGATTTGTTTATCATAGTTTTACAGTTCTTCTTCTTCTGTATTGACGCTTGAAGGGATGATTGGCACTGTGTGTTGTTGATTACAGCTAGGCTGCGATATCTGCACCTTTAAGCCTAGCACATTTAGCTTCAGCAAAACCTTAATTACTCATCATTTTTTTGACATACTTATTAGATAATAGTGGGCTTACTCTGCCCCCCCCCCCCCCTTCCCAAATGGGGCCTGAAACCTACATAGCGACAGTTCTACATTTGAACAAATGTCTTATAATACAAAATAAAAATAGATCTGAACATTTTGTGTTTGGTAATTATCGTTAGCAAAATTTAAGAAAAGATAACAAACATGACTGCTCTGTAATGGGATGCATCTGTTATGAAAAACACCTAAATAATTATTTAATGTTATATCTGTTTGTTAATCACAAAATAAAGTTACCATTTAGAGTCATCAAAGAAGAATGATTTGTTAAAAGGTAGTTACGTATCCTTGACAGTACGTTGCTAACAAATAAACAAATTGCAGTATTAATTACTGTAAAACGATTTTATTAGACCATTTTACATTCCGTAGTATTAACATTATTAGTAAAATATAATGTGGAAGCAGCAGAGGTGTAATTTTATACATAAAGGACAAGAACTCCCTTGACAGATAAAAAAGACTAATGAAGATGTCCTGAGAGGAACTGACTCACGAAGAGAACTGATTGCCCACATCAGAAGGAAACATTCTACATTCTTTGGTGGTGTCATGAGAAGGAGGAAACTGGAGTGCATCTTGATGGTGGGGAGGTTGGAGGGGAACAAAGGCAGAGAACATGCTGGACAGTTTGACATCAAGACATGGAAGGTCGTCTGTGTCAGAAGTGATTGAAAGTACTCAAGACAATAGGGTGTGGATCAACATGACTGCCAGTGCCATACGATATGGTCTACAAGAAGAAGTATTATAGTAAATCCTTTTTCATCTTGTCCGTGCACCTTCAGACATCAACATGAATATAATTTCGCTCATTCAGTAACTAGCAACTCAGCCTGAGTTTGTTAGTTTTAACTGAGAGGATATACTTGACTGAACTCACAGTGTCCTACTCAGTTATATGCTGACCTTCTCTGGCCCAGTTCTTTCTTCTGAAACCACAAAACAGACATTGATGAGAGAGGCCGAATCTGCTGGACTGGCTTCCAACCATGATGTTGGATGGATTGTAAGGACATAACAGAATGGAGGAATAGACTGTTATTCCTGTGTGATATGTAATGGCATAAAAGGACAATTAATGAATGAATAAAGTAAAAAAAAAAAAAAAAAAAATTATAAAAAAAAGTAAAGGTCATTTTTGCACCCCTTTAGGCATATAGGGCTAGACATATATTTTTATTGACCTTTCGGCACAAGATGGGTGGTGTGATCAGCACTCCCCAGGACTGCATCCGGTACTCACTCAAGGCTGTGTCGGTCTGGGAGTCAGGGTCATTTTTTTTTTAATAAGTCCAGCTCCGCCAGGGAGCGAACCCATGACCTTTCGATCCGCACGCAAGCATCTAGCCACTATGCCACAGCGACTCCTGAATGAATGAGTACTGTCACTATAGCATCTTAGGCTCAAACAAACATTTATTACTGAAAATAATCTTCTTCTTCTATCCCCAATCATGCCGTGAAAGGTGACTAGTCAGAGGTGTTTGCTTCTAAGTCTGAGTGCATCTGCCTGAGAGACGAGGAACCAACAGTCTGTACGAATAAGACAAATTTGTAAAACAGGTGTGCACACAAAACTCAACTTCAGGAACAAGATTAAAGTCCAGACCTGGACAAACAACCAAAACAGTCTGCCATAGTTTACCGCCGGTGAATTCTAAGAAGGAGAAGAGTACATGTAAAACCTGCTGGATATGGAAAGATTAAATAAAGAAAACAATTTATCATTCTGAGCTTCTTGACAACTATGCAAATGGTGCTGGTGTGGGGGCTTGCTAATTATACAGTTTCATTATTACTATATCATTTATAAATATATTTTTATGGATGCAAGAGTTGGAAAGCAATGGTAGAGCTCTAGATACACACAAAATGAGATAATTTGAGAACAGAGTCTTAGAAGAATACTAAATCTCCACTGGGCAGATTTCAGATCCAATATACAAATAAGACCAGAGACCAAGCAAGATAATGTATCCAGTTTTATAAGAAAGTGTCGCTGGAACTATATCGACCGTGCAATCAGAGTAGATAAGACAAAACTCTTCCATCAAACCCTCAAATGGACACAGGAATGGAAAAGAAAATAGAGAAGACCAAGAGAGACCCTGTGTAGAACCATCATCCGGGGAAGGCTCAACTATGGACCTAATTAACATCCAAGACCTTAAATAGGTGGCAACGAACCGCCAGACATGGAGAGCTATGACCTCTGCCCTATGCGCCGCCTTAAGCTCTGGAGGAAAGACTAACTAAATAAGTTTGTAGAAAGGAATTAATACTGAAAGTTAACGGAACTTCTAGCTGAAGTGGCTGTAACTGCAAAAGATATACTCAGTCTAAGTATTATGGATCAAACTGGCTTGCAGTCTTCCTCGCCATCTTTGTTTTTCCCTGGGAAATCCCCTGTTATCTGTATTACAAAGCTGAGTTAATTCTTGAATAGTGTGAAAGCAGAAAATAAATCTGTCACCGCTGCAGAATTGCCATGTGTCATCCCTCATTCACCTCTATGTGCTGTTCCCTCTTACACTGCACATATTGCCTATATGGTGACCCTCATATGCCGCCATATGTTAATTCTGATATATTGCCATATGTTGTTCATCATACACCACCAAATGTTGCACCTCACCACTGTCTTGTTACCCCTTACATATTGCCATGCTGACCCACATACAATGGAAATATTGTCTTTTATCTAAAGCTATATGTTGTTCTTCATACACCTTGATTTGTTGTTTCTCATACACAACCATACGTTACCCCTCTTACTTTGCCTAATGTGACCCTTGCATATTGCCATGTCCCCTCACATACAGTGCAAATATTGTCCTTTATCTATAGCTGTATGTTGTTCCTCATACACTGAATATTTTACCTACTGTAAGTTATAAAATGCTAGGTGCTTTATTAATGTCCTACCCCAAACAGAGGAAATCCACAGGTCACTGGACGGTCTAATGTTTCAGGGGGTGGTAGATAGGCTGCTTGCAGTCGTGGGACCTAGGCTGCATGCATTCATAGAACCTAGGCTGCACTCTCTCGTGGGACGTAGGTGGGTTGGGGTTCGGGCCAGTTCTAGATATTCTAGGGTCATTAAAAGCATCAGAAAGCCGGGAAACCCAGTCTTACCACCCTCTAAAATGTTGGACTGTCCTGTGACATCATCTGGGGTAGGATATTAGTAAAGCACAAAATGCTGTCCCTTATACATGGCAAATGTTGCCTTTTATCCGTAATATGTCCTTCACACACAGCAGTATACTGCCTCTCATCTCTGCTATGGTGCCACATGTTA